TGTCTGTCTCTCTCTCTCTCTGTCTCTCACTGTATCTGTCAGTGATGCTCATCGTTTCCTGTATTTTCATATTTTGTTTCTTTTAGCGATAGCAAAGTCTTTAAGCGAAAGTTTCCGACCCCTGTTTGATGTTCATACGTTTGCATCTGTCTTCTTGGACTCTCTCTTTCTATTGGATATATCATTACGTCGAGGTGCTTCTCTTAATGCTCAATAAACAAGCGATCAAAACGCGCTTTGGAATGTAGAAAAACTTAGCTTCGCTTCTCTCTCTTTGATCCGTACAAGATCCTTATGGCCGTTGACGCTTCTATTCTCTCTACGCTCCCCTCTAGGAAGAATGTTTTTAGGCCGCGAAGACTCTCGGCACCACATTTGTGGAATGGCTCAAAATCATTTATTGTCCGTACCAGACCAAGTATTTATGAGCCCAGGTGTTGGGAAATGAAAGGAGAATTTCTATTAAAAGGCGTGGAAACACCAATAAAGCGTTCTAATTTCACTCATTTTTTAAGATTTCAAATAAAGGTGTTATTAGAAGTTTTGGAAGTGGTAAGATCACATTGGTCGTAGTTCAAACTCAAGGATTGTTTGGTTAACTTAATCAGTTGTGTGTCAAATCATTTTGGTACTAATATTTCTCAGCACTGCCCCCACCCGCCCCCCCCTCCTACCTCTCTTCCTCCTCATACGTCTCCTCTTCCTACTCCTTTTCTTCCTATTTCTACTTCTTTCTTTTATAACTCTCGCACGCATGACCACAAACACAGTCACAATCTCGCTCGAAACTAACTCACACGCAGTCTTCTCCCCCCCCCCTCTCTCTCTCTCTCTCTCTCTCTCTCTCTCTCTCTCTCTCTCTCTCTCTCTCTCTGTGGGTGGTTGGCGGGTACTCTGGTGTGGTTTGCTTCTTCTTTCCTGTGGAACATTTGCCGTCGTTATGTCCCCCTTAAAAAAATTTTTTTTTTACTCTCTTGCAACACCTCTAATCTTCTGACGCTCATATGACCTTATGCAGTTGCGAGCGCTGTAAAACCTCTAATAAAACTAATCTAACGACTTGCCCGCCATGTTCTAATTCCCCGCACCCTGCTTAGAAATCGAACACGGGAAGCAACCACGATCGTGGCATGCTGTTTTAGATACTCTCGATTACCGCCCTTCCTTATCGCCCATTCTTACTGGTGCTCAAGGAGATTAAAAGTAATTCTAAACTCCTTGCTGGTGCTTCAAATTTCTACTCCAAATTTTGATTTGTTCACGTTTTCGTGCTCTTTCACGCAAATACGTTAAAACAACAGAAAAGATCAAATGTGTAAGAAAGGAAAGGAGATGGCGAAAGTGAATACAGTATGTTCAAAAGCCATACAATCTTTGAGTCTTTCACCTATATTTTGGTAAAAGACTTAACACTTTACCCTCTGCCAGTAAAAAGTAGAAATGTCCCTTCTCCCAAAACTGGATTAGGCGCCCCCCCCCCCAC